AAATCATCCTGGGACCAGAGGAGCTTCTCTCTGCATCTAAAATGTGAGCCATAAACCAGGCTGACTTACAGGCAGTACTCACCGGTCCGGTTGTTTATGGCCAGCATCCTTTCTGATTGGTTGATGCCTGTACTATGCCCATTGTTAAATATTTGAAGATCACCCTGCTATAAACTAGTCACAGGACTTCCCAACCTGGCTGTGCAATAGGGTCTCTTGTAGGGAGAGTGGGGCTGCCGCATAAAAGTTCACACTCTGGGCTCCCCCAACCCCAGGGCCAGCTGAGTCAGCAGGGCCTGCGAATCTATACTGTTACTTCCTGGGTGATTCTGATGCCACAATTTTAGGGTGTATCTTCCGTGGGTTCCCCCCAAAGCAGGCCTTGTGATGGGGGTTCGAGTGCAAATCATTTGTTGGAAAGGGGGTCCCAGGAAATGCAGGTGAGGAATGAGGAGGTGAGGCAGGGAGGAGAAGGTGCATGACCAACCACGTCCTCCCCATGGGCTGCTGGGGGTGAGTCCCAGCAGGGATCCCCAAGAGCCAACGTACAACACGCCTCTGCATCAGCCACCCCAAGAGGTGAGGGAGCTGGAGCAGTAATCTGCTAAGTCTTTATCAGCCACTTTGCATGAGTCATTCTTTGAGCACTTTTGCGGGGGTTCTTAATCCCCTGGCACTTCCAGCCTGTCCAGTGTGTCCCTCAGAAATCCAGCTCAACCCGGGCTGGCACTTGGAGATCGAGCTGATGTGTGTGACGGCGGGATGTGTGAGGCCTGATGGGTAGGGTAGCATCTGGAATGGAGGGCTGCCCAGCTCCCATCTCTCCACCATCCGGCCCGGGTCAATCATTGGGTATCCTTCCTACCACTGAAAGAGCTCTGGGCCTCCTCCACTGCTGGTGGGAATATAAATGGTGCAGGTGCTGGGGAAAACAATTTGGTGGCTCCTTCATAGCTTGAATGTAGAATTATCACAGGACCCAGCAATTCCCCACCCCTCGTTCCTAGTTCCTGCCCCCAAATGTTCATAGCAGCACAATCCACAATAGCCAGAAGGGGGAAACAACCCAAAAGTCCATCAACAGACGAATGGATACACAAATGTGGTCTCTCCATACAATGGAGTGTTACTCAGCTGTAGGAAGGGATTACATACTAATACATGTTACGACATGGATGAACTTCGAAGACTTTATTCTGAGTGAAAGAAGCCAGACACAAAGACTACCCCTCATATAATTTTATTTATATGAAATGTCCAGAACAGGCAAATTCATAGAGTTGGACAATGGCTTCTTGATTGCCAGGGCAGGGGCAGGGAGGAATGGGGAGTGATTGCTTAGTGGACGTAGGTGTCATTTGGGGTGATGAAAATATTCTGGAAGCAGATTGTGGTGAGGGTTGTACCACGTGGTGAATGTACCTAGTATGACTGAATTGCACATGTCAAAATGGTTAAAATGATGCATTTTTGTGTTATATATATTTCATCACAATTTTAGAACAAAACACAACAAAACTCCAGGTACTATTCCGCAGCCTGAGTCGCAGCGCATATTACCTGTTTCTCAGATGGGAAACAAACACAGAGCGCGGTATGTGTACCCCAGGGCCCCACAGCCAGGGATGGTTCTCCTGAGTGGCGGCTCCTAGAGCCACCAGGTTGGAGTTGAGCCCCACACATTGGCCTCGTTCCTGTGTGAATGGTGCAAACAGAGGTTTCTGGGAGCCTTCCTGGTAGAGAAATGAGCCCTGTGTCCAAGGGGAAGCCAAGTGAGGCCCAGCTTCTGCAAAGTAGCAGAACAGCCCTGGGCGGGGGAGTTTGTGCCCAGCTGGAAAATTGCGGGGCGTCTTGTCTTAAATATAATATTAAATCGGCACCTTTAATTAGTACACTTAGAAAAGGTCACTAGCAATTACCTGGGACACAAAGAAGGCGTAAGTAGGCAAGAGCCCGTGAGGAAGCCGAAAAGGACCATTTTGAGCAGCACATAATTGAGGGGAAAATGGATAAAAGTCCAGGAAATTATAGGGTGGGTGACAGCAGCTGATGGGCCCCATCCATGTCCTGCCCAGTGCCCCCCTTCTTGGAAGGGCCTGAACATCGGGCCTAAGAAACCCATTTAGGATATTGGGCCGAGTCGTGTGACCTTGGCTGGAGGGCCAGTGTGGTCTTTTCCAGAATCCCATCAGCCAGCGGAGAGGCTGGGCCCTGACGGTGGTTGGCAGGTGAAGCGTCCACTCCAGGGGGCCACCATGGACTGGTTGTTGACTGTGGGCAGGCAGGACTGCTCTGGGCCTCAGGTTTTCTCATATGGAATCTCCCCAAGGCATTAGGAAGGAGCTCAGCGCTCCTCAAACTTGGCCGCTAAAGCAAATCTGAGCATAAGGGAAACAAAATGCATATCCCTGGAAGTCAGGGGGAGACTGGAAATTCTTTTACGGCTTTAGGTTTGGTCTTCAAAAATAGTTACTTTGTGCTCCAGAATATTCCCATTTATTTTCATATAGAACAATTGCTTGCCATTGAACGACATCATGCTTTGAGCAGATGTGCTTGGTTGACCTATGACTTCACATACCTCCTCCTCCTTCCTCATCCAGAAGGAGCCCTGCACTGGGAGTCCAGTAATGTGGGTTCTAGCTGCCGACTCTGTCCCCCACCATTGCACTTTGGGCAACTAGTGAGGTGCCTTCAGCTTCTCCATCTTTAAAAATGGGAAGGTTGTACTCCCCAGAGGATCTCCGAGGTGGTTCCGACTCTGTTTCATGATTTTTCTTCTCTTCCTCCTGCTTTTCACCTCCTCTCATCACCTTAGGTGCTTCTATATCCTGTTCTGCTGTGTGACCTTGGAAAGGATGCATTGCCTCTCTGATCCTCAACTTCCTAATCTGTAAAATGGGTAGAAGAATGGCCACCAACTGAGTTGCCGGGAGGACTTAATGAGAGAATCCGGGTGAATGAGCCTAGCTAGCACTGTCTGGCATATCCTCAGAGCTCAGTCTTTGCCCAGAATCTTTCTTTTCTAAGTGTTAGGCTTCTTGTTAGGGTCTGATAGGGTCATGTCCCTAGAAGTCCTGAATCTTGAGTTCACTTACCAAGTATTGAAATGTGTAAGGTTGTGGAAACCAACAAGGGCTGTAGACCCAGAATGCCTGGGATCTGAATTCCAGCTCTGCCTTTTACTAACCTAACCGTGTGGCCATGGTTAATTACTTAATCACTCTTTGTTGCCTTAAATGGGTAGAACAATGGTCAGGATTGAATCAGACAATACCTAGAAACCCCCTAGCCCAGTGTCTAGAGTGTGGCTAGCACTCAGAAATATTCGCTATCCTTGTATCACTTAGAAAAGCTCAGTAGTGTTCTTTTCTAGAGAACAGTCCCAGAGTTTGGAATCCTATCTTACTTAGCTTGATCATCAGAGCTATTGAGTAAACACAAGCTATATTTGGGGAAGAAAGAGTGTCTGTTCCATCTTATGGGGTAAACTGAGGCTTTAAAAGAAGTGACTTGCCCAAGGCCATGAATCTAATCTAACCACCCCTTTGAGAATCTGACAAAGACTATAGCCCCTCTCTGCAGAAAGTGATACTGTACGTTCATGACATTTTGCACGATTTCCAGAGGTTCGAGGACCTCCTGAAGCTAAGGTGGCCAGCCTGTCCAGTTGTCTGGGATCTCCTGGTTTTAGTATGTGTCATTCCTCAGTCCCAGATAAACCAGGGGGTTGGTTACCCTGCCTGAACGCTACTTAGGGAGGGATGTGATCCCCCGGGGAAGATGCCCTATATATGCTAGGGCTTCCTAGGCAGGACTGTAGGCCAGGCATCCTGGGGGCGCCTCTGACCAGGGCTGTGTTTCCTGGGGAACAAGAACACCTCAGTCCTCTTCTTGTGAACAGAAACTATACCTTGCACCCAGTCCTGGCCTCCATCTCCTGGAGGCTGGGCCACATCTTCCTATAACCTCTGTGTACTCCTGCACTCAGCACAAGGCCAGCCCCTTGCCACTGTTGGGCAAATGTCAAGTATTGTAATTTTTTGTGAATTAGAATGAATGCTTCCATTTGCAAAAGGCAGAAATCCAACTCAACTGACTGACTCAGGCCAAAAAAAAAAAAAAGAGGCAGACATATTAGCTCCTGTAGCTGAGAAGCCCGGAGGTTGGAGCTAAAATCAGGCACCGCTGGCTGCACACCCTCAAACCTTCAGGAGTCTCTCTGTGCACCATTTGGCTCTATTTTCCTCCTGTTGGCCTCATTCTCAGGCAAATTCTTCCTGTGTGGTGCCAGAGATGGCTGCCAGCGGGGCCAAGGTAGCAAGGCCAGTGGAAGAGGGCTTCTCTTTCCCGGTCATTCCAGCACAAGTCCCAGGGTCGGCTTTGACTGGCTCGTTTGGGTCACATGCTCATCCCCGAGCTAGTCATTGTGACCAGGGAGATGGAATGCTCTGATTGGCTAAGGCTGAGAGGGATGTCCCCATCCTGGAGCAGAAGAACTGAAGGGGCCTGCCCTCATCAGAGCCACTAGGAGCAGGGAATCTCCAAATTTAAAATCAGGAAAAAGTGGGGGACGCCTAGGTGTCTCAGTGGTTGAGTGTCTGCCTTTGGCTCAGGGTATGATCCTGGGATCCAGGGATCCAGTCCCAGATCAGGCTCCCTGCGAGGAGCCTGCTTCTCCCTCTGCCTGTGTCTCTGCCTCTCTCTCTCTCTCTGTATCTCTCATGAATAAATAAATAAAATCTTTTAAAAATAAAAATAAAATCAAGAAAAAAGGGGATAGGCAAAGGCCACAGCTCTTCATTACCCACATAAAAATACGATGAGCCATGATTCTCTGTGACAGGCATGTAACACACTGTGACACGTGGTCAGGGTGGGGGCAAAGAGCCTGGGTCAGTGACCTGCCGGCAGTGTGTGGGTTGGGACTCCCGAGCCAGGTGCCATGGAAGGGACCCACTCCTACTGTCACTCTCTGATCTCTCCTGTGGCTATTCCAGGTTCCTCTGTGACCCAGTTGCTGGCCCGAGACATGGACAATGACCCCCTGGTGTTCGGCGTGTCTGGGGAGGAGGCTTCCCGCTTCTTTGCCGTGGAGCCCGACACAGGTGTGGTGTGGCTGCGGCAGCCGCTGGACAGAGAGGTATATGACCCGGCCATGCCCCTGTCCCAGTTCTTTCCTGGCGGGCAGACCCTGAGGGAGGCTGGCTCATCATCTTTTAGGGGCCTTCCTCTGAGGCCCCATTCTGACCCCAAAGTAGCATCATGCTGCCTAAATGGTGTCCCTCAGTCCATCAATGCTCGCATCTGGACTTGGGGTTGGAATGGGGTGGTTGGGATGTCTCCAAACAAGGGACAACACTGGACGGGCAAGAAGGACCATGGCCCTGGGTTCATGCCCCATAGAATGGTGGCTCTGTGGTATATACAAGTCTACCCCCATGAACAGTGCTCCCCTGAAGGACATTTTCCAGAGACACCAATTCTGGTGATGTGGCAGCACGTAGCAAATTAAGGTATGAGTTTGAAAACCCCAACCTTTATTTTCTCCTTACATTTGAAGAAATGGCCTCAGAGGTGTCTAGGGACTTGTTCAAGATCACACAGCCATTTAGAAGTCCAGCCCAGATTAGGGCTCAGGGCCCAGGACTCAGAACGTGGGAGCACCTCTCTCTAACCCTGCCTTCTCCCTCCCTCCCTTCTCTCTTTCAGACCAAGTCTGAGTTCACAGTGGAGTTCTCTGTTAGTGACCACCAGGGGGTGAGTGTCTCCTGAGGCCCCTGCTGCCCTGGGAGGCAGGGTCCTGGGCCCTGGGGCAGAAAGAGGCTGGAGGCCAATGCCAATGTTAAATCCCCACCCTTCTCTTGCCAGGTGATCACGCGGAAGGTGAACATACAGGTCGGGGACGTGAATGACAACGCACCCACGTTTCACAATCAACCCTACAGCGTCCGCATCCCTGAGGTAGGAGCCCCCAGGGTCACACTTAAGGGATGTGGAGGGTGGGCCATCTGGGCAGGGGCTGAAGCTGGGTACAGGGCCGCTCCAGCTCTGCTTCCCCTGCCCACGCCACAGCCCAAGCACCAGCCCTGGGCAGGTTGGTGACCTTGCCGACAGCTCGGAGGGTGAGGGCCTACCGGATGGGCAAGGACGGTGGGTTGGAGGCAGCCTCAGGCCTGATAGAAGGCCTGCCTGGGATGAGCCCCACAATTCTAGCTGCAGACAGGACTGGACAGGAGGTAGAAGGGGCAGGTGTCATGGCCTCTTTGCTTCCGTTCATAGCCAGTGTGGGCCACGGGCACGTGGGTTAGAAGGCCTGACCCCCGGCTTTCCAGCCGTGTCCAGAACGGGTCCCCCCAAGAACCCAGGAAGCAGGTGGTGGCTCCAGGAAGGCACTTTCTTTCCCTAGCCTTATGCTCGCCCGCCTGTCTCCCTGGCCCTCTGCTCCTTTGGGTCGTCTGTGTACTCTGAGTGTGTTTGCATGAGTGCAGGCATGTAAAACCAAGCCATTGCTGGTAATTGAGAAGTACAAATTATTGCATTACAAACGGTTCATTAATAAGCTGGCTGCCAGCTCCCAGTGGTACTAGGGTTCTCATCCCTTACTGTCCTCTCCCAGTGACTGATGGCAGTCTTCTGGGCTGGCAGTCAGCAATTCAAAGACCTTGAAGGTGGTGGGTAAAGAGCTTCTACTGGGTGTCCCTCGGGCCTGCCCTCAGGGCTCTGGGTTGAATGGCAGCAATAAAGCCTTGGCCTGGGAATGATGGGAACGGATTCCCCTGGGGAGAGGCAGGTCAGCACCAAGGCATTGGAGTTCCAGCCCCTTTACGTTATATGTCACTGGATCAGGGAAGGGGAAGAATCTTTAGAAAATACCTGTTCAGTTTATAGATAAAGAAACTGAGGCGCAGTGTGGGACAGTGACTTGCCCAAGGTCACACGGCTTTGACTTTGAGCCTTCTGACTCCCAGGGCAGCCTCAGATTCCCTCCAAGATGAAGAGACCTTGCCTCATGCCCCCCACCCCTCACCTTCTTGTTCCTGGCCTTCCTTACTCAGCTGTGAGCCAATGGTCTTATGCTGGTGCCAGACGGAGGGAAGGGAGGACAAATGTGAGGGTGGGAATGCACGGAGGCTCCCGCACCTTGCCCTGATGTGGCAGGGCCTCGGGAGGGAGAGCCCGCAGTCCCAAACAGGGGGACACATTGCCCTGAACTGTGGCCAGCATGTCCGGGGCTGCAGCTTGGCTCCGGGCCCCCTCTCATTTGGAAGTCTCCCTAATTTAATTAAGGGTCTCTACGTGCCAGCCTGTGCTCTGGGCCCAGGCTCGGAAGCCAAGGGCACGGCTCAGAGTTAATGAGCCCGAGCCCATTGCTCAGCTGCCATCCTGGCAGGCATGGCTGCCCGTTGTCTTCTCTCACAGGGGGCAGCAGGCAGCAGCGATGGCAAGGGGACGAGAGGTCACATCCCTCCTCCCCAGCCTCTGGGCCCGGGGCCAGCCTTCCCCTCGCTGCCTTGCCAGGAGATGTGACCTCCAATGCTGCCCTGTTGGGATCCCCTGGGATTCTCCGAAGGCCTCTGCTTCCAAGGAGAGAGGCTCTCCAGTCAGTCATCTATTTAACAAATATTTATTGAGTGTCTGCTGTGGGCTTGGCGCTGTGCCAGGCGCCCGCTGCGCAGAGAGACCTGGAAGGCCGGAAGAACGAGCAATGACAGAAGCTGAAGCTGGCCACAGGAGACCCCGGGGTCTGGCCCCTGCTCTGCTTCCAGATTGCTGGGTCCATGTGGGCACATCACTTAACCTCTCTGGGTCCCAGTCCCCCTTATCTAACAACAACAGGGGACAGGCAGGATAAAGTGGCCTGCCTGCTGCCCATCTGATGACATCTGATGACATCTGATGACTCTCCTCAGAGGGTGGGCTGAGAGGGGCCAGCCACAAGGACACACAGTTCTTGGAGGGCAGCCTGTGTGGTTTACTTGCTCGCCTGTAAACATCCCCGGCTCACCTCCTTGACTTGATACTTGATGCCCTACTTAGGGCTGCTTGGTGGCGGGTGGGGTGTGGTGTCAGCTGGATGTGGGCCTGGCCACTCCTGACCTGAGGTGGCTTGGCACCGACCAGCCCCGGCCTGGTGTGGTCACCTGAGCTAGAACTTAGCTGTCTGGCTCAGGCCCCAGCTGAGGTACCAGCAAAGGGCCTGCTGGCTCCTGGTCCGGAACTGAGCCTGGGCTCTCCTGCTGGCCTGGAGGTCACCCTGGCGACACCAGGGCCCTGCCCTTGAGAAGCGTGATGTGTGACAGAGGCCCCGTGGAAGTGAATGGGGTAAGAATGCAAGCCAGGGAAAGAGGCGGGGCTCTGGAGACCCTGTGAGGTGTCAGTGCTAAGGGGTGGCCAGAGTGATCGGAGAAATCTCAGCAGCCCTCCTGGAGGAGGTGGCTTTCCAGCTGACTCTTGCCAAGGTGAGCAGTGGAGGTCCTGTAGGTCAAGACATCTGGGATTTAGTCCTGGCTGTGCCTGGGACTGGCTGGGTGAGACTGGGCTTATCACTGCCCCTGCTGGCTTTGGTCCCACTAGCTGTTAAACTGGGGGATGGGACAGGTTCCTTCTAAGGCTGATAGCCCGTGGTCTGCGGATGCATCCCAGCAGGAGAAGCTTCTCCTTCTCCTTCAAGTACTTCATTATCCCTGAAGGGCTGGCAGAGAAGCTCCAGTGGCTGTTTCCATCTACTGAGCTCCCCTTCTCGTCGTGCCAGCCACCTGTCCCGTCTCCGTCACCTTCTCAGCAGCCACTGTCCCCAGCCCTACAAGCCCTGATCATTTGGGGATCTGTTGTGCCCAGAACCCGAGGATGGATGTGAAGAGCAAGTTTTCTGGGAGACAGATTCTAGGTGTATATAAGGAAGAACTTTCTAGTATGGAAACCTAGCACACATTCTATCCCCCTACCCTTCCAAGGATGTACTGAGCTCCCCAGCCCTGGCGCAATGCAGACCAAAGCAGAGCTACGCGTTTCAGAAGCCATTCAGAACTGAGTGTTCGAGAAGGGGTGGATCAGAAGGTCCCAAACACACCCCGTCAGAATTTCCTAGGGGACTAGCTACGATGCATATTCCTGCACCCCTGCGACTCTGAATCCCGTAGCCTGGGAAGAGCCGGCCCCGGACGCTGCATTTCTGACAAACCCCGCTGGTGACTGCGAGCCCTGGAGCCTGACCCTGTGGCCCTCCCTACCAGAGTGCTCCTGAGGCGGGGGTGAGGGCAGCCCATCCTCAGCTGCCGGGAACAGGAGTGGGCCGGAGGCTGGATCAAGGCCAGGCCCTGCCCCTTTCTCCAGCAGAACCTGCAGGCCCCCTGCCCCAGGCCTGCCCCTCTCTCCCGCCCCCCAAGGCCCCGCCCGGCCCCGCCCCTGCTCAGCAGAAGCCAGACAGGTGTGTTTGGGTTTCTGTGTTCCTGCTCCCCTCCTGCCCAGCCCGCTCCCCTCACTAAGCTGTTCTACATGTAATTATCCATTTTATCAGGGTGAAAGGGCCTGCAATTCACTTGTCGAAGCCCTAACGAGGCAGCGTGGATGCTTTCAAGTCCGTAAAGAAAAGGGAAATCCTGCTAGAATTGGCAACTTAATTCACCAAGCCAGCCTCGACAGACCTCATTAAGTCCCCGTGTATTCATTTCAGGCTAATGGCTGTCATGCTGACTGCTGTTTGATTTGCTGTAATAGACTTTTATGGCGTTCCAATTTGCTCAAACGTGTTTGCCTGTGTCTGTGCCCAGCAGCACCGCTCCACTACCTTCATTAGGGGGGGTGTGTCCCCCTCGCTGACCTTCAGCGCTGCCCTGTCCCCTGCGTCCTCCCCGGGGCCACCCCCCCCACCAGCCCTCCAGGTGTGCCCCGGGGAGGTGATCCTGAGGCCCGGCTGTTTGGGCTGCGAGATGGGGGTGAGGTGAGAATTCAGACAGTGCCAGGTGGCCCCTGGGGTCAAGGGGTCAAGGAGGGCTTCTGGAATCTCAGGGCGGGCCGTGTCCTTGAAGTTTCGACAAGTTCATGCACCTTCGCTGGACGGTTGGGCTGTTACCCACCTGGCCTCAACCTACCCTTCTCACCTTCCCTGCTGGCTTCCCCGGCGCCGATCACCCTGTCAGCCCGGGGGCCGATTCCGTGCCTGGGAGCCTGTGTCTCTGTCTCTCTTTTCTCTTGCTCCCCTGCACACAGACTGTGCCATTCTAACCGGTACCCGAGTGTTTTCTTTCTGCTCCCAGCCGAACTCGATTTTCCCTGTCCTTTGAGGCCCAGAGCTGATCCATCGTGCCCTGAGCCACTCAGTTTTTTGTTTTTTGTTGTTTTTTTTTTTTTTTTTTGGTAAACGAACACAGTGAACATTTGCTGAACAGCTATAGATCAAGGCCCAGGGCTTCTAAGCTGGCTTGGACACGTAGGGTAGAGCAAAAGGGCTCTCCCATTGGCCAGCTGTGCAACTTAGGATGGTGACATAACCTCTCTGGACCTCAGTCTTCTTATCAATGAGACAAGCAAGAGTATTTGCCTTATAGGGGGTGGGGGTGGGGAGGTGGTCATTGTGTGAGATATAATAATGCAGGTGGGTAAAGCCCTTAGCCCGGTTTGTGGCTTGTTGTATATTTAGTAAAATGCTGGTGATTAAGACCAAGGTCTTGGCCTTAGGGAAGACAATTTTACAGAGAGAAAGACAAGTAAGAGGAGGTCTAATAACATATAAATGTGTTAAATGCCATGGTCGCTTAGGGCGTGCAAAGCAGGCTGGAGGCACTGTGGAAGAAATGACCTGGTCTATACACAGGGGCCATTTGTTTGGGACCTGATGGGATGTGTAGAAGTTTGGTAGTCACACAGGGAGGTTAGGGTGTCTCCGGATTATCATATATTTCCTGTTCTTTAGCTTCTCTTCATATATTGGGATTGCCAAAAGATAGAAGGGCACTCTAACC